AGTTTTTCTGCAAAAGCAGCTACTTTTGTGGAAAAACTTGCCAGCTGTCTACACTGGCCGCTTGAATTTCCGCAAGAACACTGACTTCCTACTGTCTGAAATCAGTGCTTCTTGTGGAAATACTATGCTGCTCCCATTCGGGCAAAAGGGCCAGTGTAGAAAGCTCAGATTTGTTTCGTGCAAAAAAGCCCCGATCGCGAAAACGGCAATCGGGGCTTTTTTGCAGAAAAGCGTGTCTAGATTGGCACAGACGCTTTTCCGCAAAATATGCTTTTGCGGAAAAGCCTCTGTGCCAATCTAGACGCTCTTTTCCGCAAATACTTTTAATGGAAAACTTTTCCGTTAAAAGCATTTGCGGCAAATCATGCCAGCCTAGACGTAGCCTAGATGTTTTAACATAGAAGTTATAGTAATCAAATTAGAGAAGCTATATCACTGTTCGTCGCATCTCTAATAAGCACTGGTACATTTGGGTTGGGCTGGGTTTTTTTGGGTTTTTTTAAACCATATAACCCACATGTGCCAGAGATTATTCGAGATGTTAACAAATGTTTATTTTTGTTAAACTGTAACCACTAAATTTTTAAGCCATTTTCTGCCGACGACTCGACCTCCTTTTCCCCCACGCACTAGCTCCCACCTGCCCCTTGTTGCAGCTGCCACCTGCCCCTTGTTGCAGCTGCCTCTGTGAAAGACAGAGGTGGGTATTGCGGGGGTAAGCAGCTCCAAGGGAGCCAGCACACATGGAGAGCAACTTAAAAGCAGGCTCCCCATGCATACCGGCTTCTGCCTGCTCCCTGACGCTGATACCTTTGATTCAAAGGCAGCAAGCGCGGGTGCATGTAACCATTAGAATGAACTGATGAGCTCGGTGTTATCAGTTAATCATGTAAACTAGTACACACTAACAGCCCTAGTGATTATGTCCTACCTCTTATACCCTTAGCCTCTCTGTCTCCCTTTGCTCCTATCTGTTCCATCTCAGCTCATGCTCACTCTCCATCTGAGTTTATTCTGTTGCCCATCCTCTGGCTCCTATACCCATCTTCTGCTTCCTGAAACCTCTGGTTCCTGAAACATTTCTTCTTTTCAACCATTTAACATTTCTTCTTGACCGCATTTCCCACTTCTGTGCATTCCAACCTGCCATTTCCTCATTCTCCATACTGGATGGCAGCAATGGGGAATATTGAGAGCACAGGAGAATGTCTCCCTGATTTCAATTTGCGTTATAGCTACAGCCAGGAGCCCCATTTGCAGGAAAAGTCTTGTTCCGAGCCCTGGGCTGAAGCATGCTCAGTTGCCCTGTGGAAATGACACATACGCAGTCCAGCTGTCATACAAGAGCTGTGAGGGGAGTGGAACATGCTCAGTGAAGATGGAGTTTCAGAGAATTTAACTGTCAAGCAGTCATTTGGTAGATAAGAACATACTTTTTTTCATCATTCCAACTTAGCACCAAGCCACACGATAAATGAAAGCCTATTTCATAGAGTTGGCTAACAATCTCAGGGGAAGAGTTCTGTCCACAATGGTTAGGAAACCCTATTAACAATAACCATGAAGCATTCAAGTTATATAACTGGCATGGTTCTGATTCCAGTGTAGAGAAAGACCTTACTCAGATAAGCTATAGCTAGAGTGGGGAAGGGGAAAAACTATGGACCAAAGACATAAATTACTATTATTAAAAATCTGGACTTCCTGTTATAATCACTCCTGATTTAAATATATGAACAAAAATGCAATTATTCTAAAAAGCTTACAGAGACACCATTTATCTTTCTGATAAATGGAAATCACACACACACACACACACACACACACACACACACACACAATTAAGAAATTAGTCATGGTCTCCTGATATCAACATTTAGAGAAATTAACTCTGTTGCAAAAACAAGGCAATACACGTTGTACACAATATACAAAACAAGAACAATTTGGGACCAATAAATAGTCTTTAAATCCAAACTTGTAAAAAGCATTTCACAGAAACAGGTCACTGCACTGAACTCATTCCTTCTTTTTCTATATCAATTTCATTTTAAATTACTTAGGAACTACATTACAGTGCAATCTGACAGCAAACAGAAAAGTGTTATTGAAACCAGAAATATTAAATTAATCAGTATAACAATAATCCTAAAAATATTCTGAGGAATAAAAAACATGGTGCCTTTCAGTAGAATTGCTAGGAACAACAACAACAAAACCAACCCTAAAAAAACCCCAAAGCCAAGCAACATCCATATCACAGAGAGCATAAGTTTTCGTACTTTAAAACCCTTAAGTATTTCCAGATTCATTCCAATTAAAAATACATTATATAACACACATACAAGCTTACACTTAAGTGGCACTCATAGCTTTCATACAATGAAGATTTAGTGAAAATATACATCTTAACACTTAAAATTAAGAATAAATATACGTCTGTAAGCCCATATATATATTTTAAATGTATAATACACTTTACAAAACATAAAAGATAAAAACATTCAGAGGTCATTAATCTTTTTTTTTTTTTTTTTTTTTACTATAATTCTCTGATTTAAAGTCTAGAGGACTCCTCTTCATCATCAATGTAACCAGATTTAAAACAGACCTGAGAAAGAGACAAGACAAAATGGTTGCATTTAGTTAAATAATTAGCAGTTAGTTAAATAATTTTGTACTTTGTTTTGTTTGGTAGGTTGTTTATTTAATAAACAGGGCTTGACAAATAATACAATCTACTCGTCCATGGCGAGTAGATTGTAACCGGGAAGAGCCGGGTTTGGGCGATCTGCGCATGCGCAGATCGCCAGACAGCGTGGCTGGCGAGCAGGGCTCGCCGCGGTTCGGCGAGCCCTGTTAATAAGAATCAATGTAATTTTTCAATTACATAAGTAGTGTTGTGGGTATCAAAAGGAAGCAGAAGGCATCCTCAAACCAAACCTCAGGCCTTTTTCATTTCAGCTAATCTTCCTTTAATTCTTTCCTTATGAAATCCCTAATAAGAGACAAGATTTATATTGGTAGTTCATACCAATTGAAGGACCTCAACCCATAAAACCCTTCACTTGTACAAAGCCCAGATTTTGAGCACAGTTTAGGCAAAAGAAATATGATCTGCAATACAAGTCCATAGCAAAACTGTGGTCAAAAGATCAACATTTTCATTGCTGCCATGCTAATCTAGGAACTATTGGTACAGTTGCCAATTATCTTCTGTTCACCAGATGGGATAACACAGTACCTGCAAAAGCTAAAAACAGTATTTTGAACATCAGACAGAGATAGCTATACTAGGTAAATCAGTAACAAATGTTTATATTACTGTACAAATTAACTTAACATGTTTTGACTCTATGTTCCAAGGCGTTAGCAAATTTTCTAGTACAGTAAAACTCCAATTGTCCAGAATCCAGTGGTCTGGCACTCCTGATAGTCCGGCACCAACTGGAACCCGGAAGTGCTCCAGCCAGCCAGACAATTGGAGCTGGTCCACACTGCTTTCCTAAGTCTGCCGCTGCTGAAACTGACGAGCGGCAGACTTGGGAAGCTGCAGAGCAGAGCAGCTGGGGTGCTGCCTGGTGCCGAGCAGGGGGGTTAGAGGCAGCGCTGCGGGACCAACCCGAGAGCACCCTAGCTGCTCTGCCCGCTGCTTCCCCAAGTCGCTGCTGCCACTTGCGGCCGCAGCTGTCCTGTCGCCAGCGGTTGCACGGGGCTTCCCCCGCCTCCCTACAAAACGGCAGAGGGTTTGCCCCACACCCTGCCGTTCCCCGCCCGACCCCACCCCCCAGTCCCGTCACAGCCCCCCTGCCGGAGTACCTCCTGATACTCCAGCATATCCGATAATCCGGCAACCCCTGGGTCCCAAAGGTGCCGGATTATCAAAGTCTGCTGTACTCTGACAGTGTAGGGATTAAAGTGTTTCTTCTTTTATATTTTTCATGTAAATAGTTGAATGTCAACATTCAAGGCAGACAGTTTCAAATCAATTCAAATGTCTAGTCTTCCCTCAGGATAGATTTCCATTAGAAAACTAGATCCATTCCTATGTTATGAACTGGAAACTTTCTTTTAAGTACAAATCAAATATTTTCTGAGAATGGTACTCTGTTTTTCCTTGTTTAAAGAGTCTTTTATTGTAAACAAATGGTCAGTTTACACCAACATTCAAATGCCCAGTTCATGACAAAAATATTCAGCCTACTATTATAATGCACAGCTATTTTGTGGATGATTCATTATTTGTTCCTAGCAATTTAAAATAATTAAATCTTTATAGTAAGCCAACATTATTTCTATGGTTCTTCATTGAAATGCACTTTTTCTTCATAAAACAAGTTTCACTTTGAATTTCTATGTGCAGAACAAACAAAATTGTATATATGAAGGTCTGCATATAGAAAACAATACTTAACAGCCAATTTTGTTCAAATCTATATGCAACTTGAATATACTAAAACAAGACATATTTATCATGTCTTATAATAAATATTTTGAAGTGCAATTCCTAAAGATTGCTCAAGTTTAAGATATTTTAATATATTAAACATTAGGTCTTAGAAATGGAGTCAAATTGTTCATGGAAAACTCATGTATATCTACATCACCTACATCAAAATCTATATACATTCCTAAAATATCCTGATATTTGTCTCCTAAAATATCTTCTTCAAAGTCACTGTTCATTCAATGATCATATCAAGCATCAATCTACTCTTTTAATTATTTTTCCCATGATAAGTCTTCTATATAAATAGCGAGACTGTCATTTGATAAATATTTTAAATTAAATTTAAAAATAAAAGGCAAAAAATACTTATGTTGCATAAATCAAAACCATAGGCAGTATTCTTACCCCTCTCTTAAAAAGTCTGTGAAAGAAGCCTCTCTTTGGTTTTGGGATATCTTTGCTCATATCTAGATCTTGTGACAAAGCGACATCAGTTTCATACGTATTGAGTTCTTGAAAGCATTCTGTTTCAATCATCTACATGAAAGTGAAAAAGATAAAAATGAAAAACGCACTCAGAAAAAGACTCCTCCTCCCGGACATTATTCAAGTTCATTCAAGTTAATTGTGAACTCTGGACTAACGGCAAGTTGCCAACATAAGAGGCACAGAAGACGACAAGGCAGCTTTATCCACTTTTGTGCAACCCAGAACCTAAAACCTATTTTACAATTAGTTTCATCTCAGCCCTGGATAGCAGGACACAGCTGCTCCCTTAGCTGCACCCTGTCTAATGCACAAGCAGGTACACTGCATTTACAGCTACTTTGTTACAGCAATCAAACAAAAAGCAACCATACCATAGCCATAAATGTGGGCCCTTATGTAAAGAAACTAAGACCAGCTTTCTATAATTCTTGCTTCAGAGATAATACTCATAAGTGTGTCCCACATCATTCCCCCAAAACACACCCACACTTTGCTGAATTTCCATTGCCCAAACTGAAACAAGCACAACTTGAACTAGATTTAATTCATGCCAAATAGATAAACATGGATCTCTCTTTCTACCCTTCTGTTTCAAGACAGCCTATCTCAGATTAATTACAATCAATCCAGTGTCCCCAGCACAGTGGGGGCAGGAGAAATTAACTCTATATATTGTCCTAAATGAATTCATTAACTAGTCAGTTTAGAATACTTACTTAAGAAGCATGATCAAGTCATGTTTGATTAAAGAAATAACTACATGTTCTGAATATCTAAAGCAAGGTGTGTCCACAGAGATCTAGACTGAAGCTTCTGGTTGCTCTCAACATGAATACCTGGGTATGACTCATTAAGATCCTTATAACAATGGCTAACATTTAGTAAATTTACTTTTTCATACTTTGAATTAGAGATGTTAAAAAGCAGTTAACTAGGTACAGATGTAACAATGAAAAATCTCAGTAGTTACACACTGTGGGCTCTGGAGTATACAACTTATACTGCAGAACCCGCAATGCAGCTGACTCGCCTAGAGCGCAGCTAGCAGCCAGTGCATGCCAAGAGCTGGCTCCCGGCTGCTGGTCCAACTCCCAGAGGGCCGGCTGCATTGCAGGCTCTGCAGTATAGGCCTTATACTTCAGAGCACGCAGTCTGGGGCAGCAGAAAGCTCCCCGGGAGCCAGTGCACGTCAGGAGCAGACAGAGGCAGCAGTGCAAGGTGGCAGCCAGTTCCCCGAGTCCCCTTTTAAGCCGGCTCCCAGCCCCACTCCTGGCTCCCGGTCCCACTCCAAGGGAGCCAGCAGTCACCCCGCACTATGGGCTCGGATACAGAGCTAGCAGTGGAGGATGGCAGCCGGCTCCCCAGGAACATGGCCAGGAGCCAGCATGTAACCACTTCAGTAGCTGAACGTTTATGCTTATCGACAGGGCTTGACAAACTGCGGTGAGAGCTACTCGCCAGCCCCGCACTGCACATGCGGAGAATGGGGTGCACGGAGGGACCAGCTGAAATCTACTTGCCACAGGCAAGTAGAAACAGTGGTTTGTCGAGCCCTGCTTATCTGTTAATCATTTAAATGGTTACACTGTTACATCGCTGCTTTGAATGGCACTTCTTGAAGTCCCACTGCTTTGAATAGGTAATATTAGAAATCTTTCAGAGACAGGGTAAAAATAAGCAATGTGCTCATCCTAGCAGATGCTACAGTTTTCTGGGCAGCATCCACTAAAGCATAGGGTGGTGCAGCTTCCATCTGTTCAATTTTATGCAAGTTAAGTGTGGCCTTGAGGCTCCTGTCAAATCATCAATGGGACTGTTAACTGGAAACATGTTGAAGCAAATGCCTAAAGAAAAAAGGAAGTTTCATCATAAAGCCTGGTTAGGGAAGTTAAACAGTGCTGTATTTTTTTAATGTTCATTACTGTTATGCTAACACAAAGAGGATTTGCTCAAAGTACAGTACCTCATTTTGCCAAGGGATTGAGACACAACCTGTAACAAATTTGGAATAGAATTCATCATCTGTGGTATCCAGGTTCACTCCTTTCACTGTGGAGAATTGCTCTATATCCAAGACATCTTTACAATACACTGCACGTGGCTGTAAAATTAAACAATCATTGCTTTTTTGAGATAATTGTTTTTTAGAGAAAACTGGGCAATTAAATATTTTAGGTTCACATTATTGCCTATTCACTTTTTATTTACCTGAACACTGAAAGAATACCACTATGTCCATTTCAATAATTTTGTTAGGACTCTCCTAAGTCTTTGCACAAAGTTCAGGTCAATCATTTACAAATACCACCACCTACCCTTTTTGCAGCTTCTGCACCCTTCCTATGTTTCAGTGCAAACAGTTTTAATTAGCAGAGAAGCATATTGCATCTATTTAAGTACAAGACAGGTCTATCATCTACTCACATCTGGGAAAAATGGAGGCTCTAACATGTTTGCTTCCAGTCTCTTGAAGTTAATGTTCTTGAAAATGGGATGCTGTTTTACAACAGCAGCTCCATCTCCACTGCACCCCAATCGTTCCTTTGGATCTTTAGCAAGTAGCTGTAAAGAAATAGTAACTATATCATTTAATTAGCCTTTTATACATACCCTTTTAGAAATAAACTTTACAGCATTTTTCAATAGAAAAGAAGAGGTTACTTGCCTCATAACTGTAGTTCTTCAAGATGTGTCGCTCACGTCCATTCCAATCAAGTGTGTGCGTGCGTGCATAGATCACGGAGCTTTTTTCCCCTCAGCAGTATCCATAGGGCCAGCCAGGGAGCCCCCTGGAGTGGCACCGGTATAATGGTGCCTATATACCCCTGCTGGACCCTTCACCCCCTCAGTTCCTTCTTACCAAAGTTCTCCGATGAAGGGGAGGCGGGTGGGATTTGGAATGGACATGAGCAACACATCTCGAAGAACTACAGTTATGAGGTAAGTAACCTCTTCAAGTGCTTGCTCATGTCCATTCCAATCAGGTGATTCCGAAGCCATTTCCACTGGCGGTGGGGTCGGAGAGTAATGACACCTATCTTTCTATAAATTGCAGCACTGTCCTACCCACAGATGTGTCAGCTCTGGCCTGCTGCATGATGGCGTAGTGGTCTGAGAAGGTATGTACGGAGGACCAGGTGGCCACCCTACAGATGTCCAATATAGGCACTTGAGCCAAGAATACAATGGATGTGGCCTGTGCTCATGTGGAATGCACTCTCAGTGGGGGAGGAGTCTTCACCCGTCCATAGTAACACTCGCTAATGCATGAGGTGATCCATGAGGATAAACACTGAACTAACACTGGCGCTCCCTTCATTCTTTTCGCGAAGGAAATAAAAAATTGTGATAACTTCCGGAACACTTTTGTCCTGTCTATATAAAAGGCGATGGCCCTCCTCATATCCAGGCAATGTAAAGCCTGCTCTTTAGGTGTGTTGTGTGGCTTAGGGAAAAACACCGGTAAATAAATGTCCTGGGATATATGGAAATGAGAAACCACTTTGGGAAGGAAGGTCAGATGAGGGCGAAGCCTAACCTTGTCCTTAAAAGAGACTGCATATGGAGACTCTGCGGTAAGGGCTCGTAGTTCGGAAACCCTTCTGGCTGATGTAATCGCTATCAAAAACGACACTTTCCATGACAGATGCTTTAAAGAACAGGTGACTAGTGGTTCAAAGGGCAGCCGCATAAGTCCCTTAAATACCACATTAAGGTCCCAGAGGGAAATAGAGGGACGCACTTGAATCATTAGCCTGTCAACCCCCTTCATGGTTCTCTTTATCATCCTATTAGCGAACACCGACCTTCCTCCCTCCCCCAGGTGGAAGGCTGTAATCGCTGCCAGGTGGATTCTCAGAGAGTACATGGCAAGGCTCTGGTGCCTGAGCTGTAGGAGATGGTCTAATATCAGAGGAATATTGGCCGTAACCGGTTCTATGCCCCTTTGTTGAGTCCACAATGCTTCATAAAGGGCCCTGGTAGATAGTTTTCTGCTTTCCAATAAGACCCTTTGGACTTCCTGAGAGCATCCCTGTTCTATGTTGGAAAGCCACTTAGGTTCCAAGCTGCAAGGTAGACGGCCCCCAAGTTCGGATGGCATAGAATCCCCCGCCCTAGATCTTGCGTGAGCATATTCGAGACTATAGGTGGGGCCTGTTTGGTGAAAGGGACCCTTGCACACACTACATCCTCCTGAGTCCACCAGTCCAATGAATGAAGTACTGAGTTTGGGAGGGTAACCACCATGTCCAGAGGCTGTCTCACTGGGTTGCGGGCGGTTTTCAGCCAGCCCTGGAGTGTATGCAGCCTCAGTCTGACAAGTGTCACGACATAAGTGCAAGCCTCCATATGTCCCAGTAGGCGCATAGAATTGTGGATAGTAGTCAAGGGAGACCTCTGAGGGTCCATAATCATTGCACACATAGTCTGAAACCTGAGTATGGGCGGAGATGCTGTCTCTACCATAGAATTCAGAAAGGCCCCTACAAATTCTATTGTCTGAGACAGAATCACAGTAGACTTTTCTTCATTTAGTACGAGGCCAAGTTGGAAAAACAGTCACTTGGTATTCGAGACGTGTTATCACCCATTCCCGAGATGACCCCCATATTAACCAATTGTTCAGATAAGGGAAAATGTGTACACCCTGATGTCTTAGAAAGGCTGCTACTGGGACCATACACTTGGTGAATACCCTTAGCACTGTGGTTAGGCCGAATGGCAGGACTGCAAACTGAAAGTGTTCACTGGCCACTACAAATCTGAGGAATCTCCTGTGGGCAGGGATTATCATAATATGGAAGTAAACATCTTTTAAGTTGAGGGCAGCGAAGGGAAGGAATGATAGAGGCTAGGGTGACCATTCTGAACTTCGTTTTCCTTATGAACAAGTTCAAGCCCCTGAGGTCTAATACGGGCTGAAGACCCCCTTTTGCCTTTGGAATGAGGAAATATCTGGAATAAAAACCCCTTCCTTTGAACTTGCCTGGAACCGGTTCCACCACTCCGAGGTTCAGAAGCTTTGCAACCTTCTGCTTTAGCAGTGTTTCATGAGAGGGGTCCCTGAAGAGGGAAGGGGAGGAGCGGGGGGAGGGGGGGACAAGGGAGGGAGGGAGGCAGAAGGGGATCGAATAACACTGTGCCACCAGGCCTAAGACCCACTGGTCTGAAGTTATGGAGGCCCAGGCCTGGTAGAAGTGGGACAAATGGAAACCAAAAGGGAGTAACTGAAGTGAGAGTGGTGCGCGGTCCTTGATCGTATCCTCAAAATGAGGATTTGGGGTGCTGGCCCACAGACGTTGTAGGCCCCTTATCTTGGCCCGATCTTAAGCGCCTATGTCTGTGTCTAGGCAAGACTTTCCGTAAGTAGTTACGGTTCCTCCGTTTACCTTGGTCAGGGTTGAAATCCCGCTGGAATGGTCTGCCTCCGGGTCTGGGGTTGAAGGACCGCCTCAGTGGACCAGGTGTGTGGATCCCCAAAGATTTTAGCATTGCCCTCAAGTCCTTTAAACCATGTAATTTCGGATCGGTCTGGTCTGAGAATAAGCCCCTTCCCTCAAAAGGAAGGTCCTGAAGAGAGGTCTGGACTTCGGAAGGAATGCCCGACACCTGTAACCATGCACTCCTTCTCATTACAATAGCAGTAGCCATTGTCCTAGCCGCCGAGTCGGCTGCATCAAGTGCTGCTTGCAAGGCAGTACACGCCACCGTTCTGCCCTTGTCCTTCAGGGCCCCAAACTCTTTCTGGTCCTCCTGTGGCAAGCAATCTTAGAACTTTTCCATAGCGTACCATTATTAAAAGCATATCCCCCCAACACAGCCACCCTCCCGGGAGTATTTGCCGAGAAGATGTCCACCATCAGATCTGCCTCTTCATGTACCTCCGACATCTTTACTGACAAGTTTTCTGCCAGCCTCCTCAAGAGGTCTTGATGAGTCCTTCCATCCATCGAAGGTAGCGGTGGGGCTGGATCACCTAGGGCCTCATCAGGCGAGGACGATGAGAAGTCCCTCGGGATGAGCAGGTCCTCCACCTGCTTGTCCACCAGTGGCCCTGGCTGCAATGTCAGGACTACCTGCACAGGCTGGGGGGGGAGGAGGGTCTGGTTGCCACTTCGCTCTGAGTCAACGTGGACATTGACTTATCCGTCTCAGACAAAGGAGCTCTATGCAAGTCCCCTGCTGGACTCCCTTGTCTTGACGACCCCGAGATGGATGCTTCGAAGGGTGGCCCTTGGGCTTGATGGTAGGCCCACAGGGTCCAAAAGGGCCATTGCTGGGGAGGCCAAGTGTACCGCTGGGCTGGGTCGACACCAACAGCCCTGTGGCGTGAACAGGACTGGTGCCTCGATTTTGACCTGTATGAGGACCTCCCTGGCCTCAAAGACTCCGCATCCAAGTCAGATGAATATTCTGAGGCCAACTACGGAGGGGCACCCGACTCCTGTTCCTTCTGCTGCTAGGCCATAGCCCACGGTTGCTCCCTGAGAGTCGTGACTGGTGTAGGGGGTAAAAAGGGGTGCGCTGGTGCAGTGTGCACTTGCAGTGCCATTTGCACTGCCAGACCTTGCGAGGGCAGGACACTTGGAGTCCCCACTACTGACCACACTGGTGGGACCGGTGCCAGGGATGACGTAGGCATCAGCCGGTCCGGAAATGGCACCAGTGCCGCCATCTGAAATAGATGTCGGTATCAGTGCCAGCACTGAAGCTGAGGCTGATGCCAGTACCAGTTGTGTTACTGTAGTTGATATGAGCACCGATAGAGCTGTCGGTGCCGGGGCCTGCACCTGAGTTGTGCAATAGCCCAGAGAGGGGCTGGTGCCGGAGTCAGTGCCGATGAAGTGATAGGTGGCACAGACGTCGTTGGCTCCGGCACTCCCGGTGCTGCAGCAACAACCGTCGATGGGTGTCCATGTGCCCAGGTCATCTGAGGGCCCGGTACCCGTAGAGCCGGTAAGGATGTTGTCGTGCCGCTGACTGTTACGACCAATGCACCGTTGACCAACTCGGTACTGGTACGGAGAAAGCGGATGTCTCTGAGGCGGTAAGCGCTATCAGGTCACGCACCGCATGAAACGTCTCCGGCGTTGATGGTCTCAGGTCTTGTAGGGCTCCCTCAGCCTCAGCCATTACGGGAGCGTGGCCGTGCCCAGGCTCTGCGTGAGTCTGGCTTGGAGCCTTCATGGCCAAGTGCCCCTTCTTCAGGTGCATTTTGTGGCCTGTTCTGTGGGGGGAGGAATGTCCCCTCCCCTACTTGGATCTCCTCTGAGAAGGAGATAGTGAATGGTGCCGGGAAGGCTTAGCCTTAGTCTTTAGTGGTGCCGTCGAGGCCTCCTGCACCAAGGAGTGGGCACTGTGTACCAAATGGGCCTCTTCTGGTGCTGGCAGTTGGAGAGTAGACTCCATGAGAAGTCTCTTCAGCCTAGAGTCCCTCTCCCTTCTTGTCCGCGGCTTAAAACTCCTGCAGATCTTACAGGCTTGTGTGCAATGTGTCCCACCCAAGCACTTTAGGCAGGAGTCCTGCAGTTCCCTTCAGGGCATAGATTTCAAACAGGACA